AAAAGACGATATCCTAACTAATAAAATACCCAATTAAGGGCTTTGAAACTGGAAACCATCTGCACTTCCAAAATCAGTGCTCGGTTTAGCTAATCTTGTCATCGTTGACCCGAGATCCTGGCATTGCATGTTAAACTAAGAGCCGATGGATCCTTCTTTGCTCTTCTCGCTCGACACAGCCATGATGAGCAGTTTTGGAGTTTAAGGTTCTTAGCAAAGAGGTACATGTATCCTTCATAGATTATGTATCTCTTTCCCCTTTTCGTTGTACCGAACTCCATTGTTACGCGTCCCGTATAGTTTGCACCGCCTAAATCTCATATCCATTATCAACTTTTTGTAACAAATCAAATTTCAACTTTTAGCCTCAGGGACAAGTCCATTTTTGATGATATTTTCCTTGATTTTGGAATTTTAATGTGGCACTTAAATATTTATGTTGGTTAAACAATAACCATACAATTTGTAGAGGAATAATTTTTTTAATAGTATTTATGAGGCAAGAATTCATACGTACAATCCTATGGACCTTTTTAAATGGAATGGACCGTATCAAAGCAGTAGAGATATTTAGGTCACTTTAATAGCATCCATATCACTCAAAATCTGGAATTTATTACTTATATTTATCTCCGTATTAAGCATGAGAACACTTGCTAAAGGTACCATGAATGAAAATTTATTTTAAAAAAAACAAAAAAAAAGGTAAAAAGACACCCATCCGTGATGTAAATTGTCCATTGCACTCATGTCCACAAGTAGACGGATGCTGCTAAACGCTGGTATCGGTCTATCAGCAAAACTGTCACCTGACATTTCTTAAACCTATTTACCCAGTTTTATTGTACCAATTCACAATCAAGGTTTTTTTCATTTGGAAACCTTTTAGCACGTACAAATAATATTGCAATAGGAATATAAAAGTCTAAATAAAATTTTAACAATTATTATTTGTTAATAGCTGCAAGTTAAGTTTCCTAGTTCTCTAACCTTCGATGTCGTCCATTTAAAGGACACATAACAAAATACGTATGTATTGTCTTAAAAGAATCTCAAGTAAATTATAATCATATTTGAACGTAAAACAAATAGATTCTTGAGAGTTTCCGTAAAATTAAAGAGATAAGGACTGTAAAGTAACGAAAAAAGCAAAAAATGTTGATAAATATCGTGAAAAAAATTGATCTTGCTATAAATTATATGGCTATTATTTAAATAATATACTGAAATTGTGAAGATCCATGACTCTCAATGGGGTGCTTAAGAAGCTTCGGAGAAATAACACCAAAATCTACCCATTTATTATTATAACAATTTTTATGGGGAGATTTTGGTGTTATTTCTCCGAAGCTAAATAATATACGGTGGTGCATTAGAAACCATACATAGCTAATTCTGTAAATTAAAATAATTTTCAAAAAACGCTTTGGCACGTCAAATTGATCATGGAAGGAAACAGTGTCTAAAATAAAACTTGCTCACTAATGTCTTTGTCTCGCATCGCTGACAGTGCAACCCTTAAAATCTTAAATGATGCATCGTTGGTAAGGTCGCCCATCTCTGAATTCGGATATGTAATTTTTTTGGTTTAGTTGTTTCATTTCCAGCGCATTCGACGTTGCAGGTACAAGTTTTCTCTTTTTTATACCACTTGCAACTGCATAATTTTGACGCACGATCGCATTAGCTTCTATTACATAGTGATCGGCCCGACATCCTTCCAATGACATAAACAACAGCGCGCCCTCAACTTACTTTTAAAATATTTCGAAAATATCAAATCTAAAAAATTATAGTCACACCAAATTCAGAGAAGGAAAGCCTTTCCAATGATGTCCTATCTTCCTTGTTGCGCAATTGCCAATGCTAAGGGTTTTGCTTTAGTACTAGGTATGCCATACAAAAATTAAAAAGGATAAGTATATAGGTACTTAATAATTACAAACATTTAAAAGAAAAAATCATCAATATCGACTTGTTCCTAAAACGTTTCAAGATTTTCAAAACCCTTACTGTTTTGATTATTAACAATCTCTTAAAAAAATGCCAGAATTTTTCCATGTATCTCTTCAAACTATAAAATAAATAACAGTAAGAAAATCAAAAAGAAACTTTTAAGTTCATTCACTACCATAGTTGTAGCAAAGATAACGCAAAAAAATAAGCAGTTAGTGTAATTTTACTCAGTCACCAATAATCAACATATAGCCACATGTGGTCAAAGAAACGTAAAACTGGTTCTAAGAAAACTGGAAACTTACCTTTTCTGAACACCACCACAACACTACCACCAGAAATAAATTTTTTTTAAATTAAAAAAAAAGTATACACAGAATCAAAACCCGTGCTCAGATAAATTTTAAAATACCACTCTGTCCAACGTTCAAGAATGAAGATACTATACAGGCGTTAAAGTTCTAATTAGTTGTGGTCATACGTACTTAAACCTGATTTTTCGGACCTAATTACTTTTACCTTGTAATAAACCCTATTCATCTTCCAGAAATAATAGAAAGGATGTCATTACGATATTTCTCTTATTGTTTCTTTATGAAGTGCAATTTGTGTTATCGGGGTCTTTTCAAATTGACCTTTAATTATAATATTATCTTAATTACTTATCCAAATTTAGTGCCATCTATGAAATGCATTGTTCTATTGTCATTTATACATACTCGTTTTGTCTAAAATAAATTTAATTCATTTCCTTTGTCACCCTTTTCAACTAAAGAAATAAAGAACAATTTTTTGTGTGTCTTCATTAAGAAATCTGTATGTAAGGGAGCGTTAAAATGACTTCCTTTTTCTATTTTCATCTTGATCTTATAATGTAAATCTTTTTAACTTTAGACTTATCACTTTGTTTGTGTACGGTATTATATGTTGATTCTGTTTTAATATTAAGAGCCTCTCAAAAGTAGCGAATATTACACATAATATTGTAGATATACTACAACTAGGTATAACTATTTGGTATTTAATTACTCCACAAAAGACGTTTCAGTTACCTATTCTTATTTTCTCAAAACGAAAGCGCAGTAGATAAAAATTATGTGTTTTTAAATTACAGGATTTAACTATATCAGACTCTTCATACAACTTCAAAAAAAAACCAGCGTGATTATATTTAAGAAATGGAAATACTTAAGAATCGCGATGTGTTGAAAATGAAAGACCAAATAACTATTATTTGAAACATTTTTCCATGAAGTAGATGTTTACCAAGATGTGCACTACTACATACATTCTGTAAAGGCAATGGTCTAGTAGTCTCTTAAAAATATTTAATTTTAATAAACCAAAGATTTACAGAATTATCCGGGTGTGAATTATTCGGAAGCGAATGGTCCGGGTGCGAATTATCCGGGAGCGAAATAGCCTGGGAGCGAAATGTCCGGGTGCGAATTGTCCGCACACGGTCAAAACCAGCTTTCGCAGGAAACCAGGGAACTATAATAAGTTCAGTGACTATTCAAACAAATTGAGTAATTAGAGGAACTACCACTATTTTATTTCTCTATTCGATAGTCTTTTGTGTGCTCTTCAATTTTTATAAGGGGTGTCCTGTGCCTAAACACCGTTTTATGTAGGTTATCACGGTCTACACCGGTTTATAAACGTGTAATTGATTTATGTGTAACTATTTTTGTGAAAAAGACTGAAGAACCTAAAAAAATACGGGGTTTTGGCTGTTAACGAGACTGGATAATTCTTGCTCTATTACCCCTAGCACTTCTACGATATCAGACACCTTGTTATCCCTTTAGAAACATATCTGGTAGTATTCGTAGTAGCACAGATTTAAATAGTATATTTAAATCTGTGGTAGTAGGTTTCTTGGAAATATTTGTAGAAAAATTTACTTGTGCGTATTTTCAGGAAATTTCTTTGAAATCTTTGAGGTTATATCATGCGAAAAAAAACGGCGAGATCTTAAGAAGTTTCTTAGGGATCTTTGAAATATTTTAAATGTAGCCAGAAGTCATCCCAAAAATATCTGAAAAAACTACAGGAAAAACTGTCTACTGTCGTGAAGCAAAATTATCAACATCACTAGAACTGTGCGAATTCTGATTATGAAGTTAGCAATAGAATACCAGTAACGTTTCCATATTTTGCTTGAAATCTTAGAAACTTAAATGTGTTTATTTTATAGCAGACGTTAAATTGACATTTTAGTAGCAATAGGTACGAATGAGTAGGATCTTCAACCATAAGGGTAGATAAAGTAATCAGTTTAACCGTAAGCTGATTGTGTATTCTGATGACATCTGTCATTCTTATTTCAAATGGGACACGGAGAATGATAAATAATGACGTTAAAAACATCCGACAGTGCTGTTTCTATGGAAACAATCGCGATGGCAGAACCTAAGCTTGCTATTTAAGTAAAATTTTCTATTATATATGACGATAAAGGGAATTAACATCTAATGGTTAAAATATCAATTTATCGTTTTGTATTATAAATCTCTATTTCAAACTCATGTATTTGACGAACTTATTTTTTCGTTAAAAGCAGAATGTGCATGTAGTCGAAAGCGAAACTACTAAAAGCACTGATTTTTCGCAATTGCAAAAGATCAACATTTTCCACATCCAACAGAATGGGTGAACAAGCATTTGATTGAATATAGTGCCCAATTTTGTTTTTTTTTCAGAGGTCCAACTCAAATGAACGCAGATTCTTCGCGTATAGAATTTCAAATTATAATTACAACAAACGGGAACGCTTTTGTTAGGTAAAACCTACACAACGCTATACAGAACAAAGAAATCCGTCGACCGGAAAACCTTTTGAAATTTAAAAAAAAATTCGTTTAAAGCAACAAATACGTTACGAACGGCGGCGGCCAGCACGCTTAACCTATAAATAATATCGATACAATTTATAGAATTCCCTGAAAATTTTTCTTCTCCGCCTGACACTTGTAATTTCCGTTGTAGACGCGAGTTTTTTTTTTATTTTGTTAACCGTTTGACTTTTCTCCTCTTTTCAGAGCCCGACACCGAAATTGTTGGTGGTCCGGAATTATTCATTGACCGAGGAAGTACCATTAACCTTACATGCGTCGTAAGGCACAGTCCCGAACCCCCGGCATACATCTATTGGAACCACAACGACGCGGTGAGTACATAGCATTAAATATTTACGAATCAATTTACGGGCGAACTTTTCCATCGCGCGCTTATGCTTTAATTGTAAAGTTTGCGACGCTTCTATTTAGCGTTGTTTGTACACGAAAATTTTGAATTCGGATGGGATTATACCAAATCGTTTTTCTGCTGTCTTACATCTCCAAATTGCGCTATTATAGTGGTTGTGTTCAGAGTTGGACTAGGTCGCTGGGTCAGTTGACCTAGTGACTAGGTGATTTAGTATAAATCCCACAGTGTGCCAGTAAAATCCGGAAAGCACCTCACGATCAGATGCAATTAAAGGTTACCTGCACGTTTGCAATGCCCGGTATTCGAGACAAAACGTAGCAATTCTTCGATTTTAGATACATTGTAATAGCTAACGGACAGTAGCAATCTTCGATTCGAAACTGACTGTTGGTATTTCATCCAGAACACGGTTCTTCCTCAATACAACCACCCCAATGCTCGTAACATACGCAAACAAATTATATTCAAAAACTGCAATATCAATATGAGACGACCATTCAATTAATTCACACTTATGTACCCCATTAATAAATGGGTTTCGGATTGCGATATAGGTGAAAGAAAAATATCTAATTAAATTAATTCAAAAAGGGAACGTGTTAACAAAAGAAATCCTATGAAGAAAACTTTACCAATCCCGATTCACGTAAATACGCATTGCATTCTATTCGGGGGTTTCCTGAAATCGAGAAATTCTCATCGGTTAAACCCCCTTCTGGATAAAAATTTCCCCCGCTTTTACTCTCTCCGAGAAACTCGCTAACCAAAGCTCGCCGTCTAGAATATTCACCTTCAAAAAACCTCATTCTTAGCGTGTGGTCTTCGGCCAACTTTCTAGTGCTCATGCAAGAAGCATTTCATGAAACAATTGAGTTACAAGTGATTTTCTCCTATTTTGATCCCGCTGAATCCGATTCTGTCCGTTGCAAATGTCTGAAAATAAGCTAGAATCGGGAATTTTCAACGGAAAATACGCCAGGGTGGTCCAAAAACTGCCATATTGGACGCGACCCTTCCGGTTTTCAGACTTGAGAACAGGCGGAATCGGATTCAACGCGGTCGAAATAAGGGAAAACCACTTATAAACTCAGAAAAATAAGCGTGTTTACTTAATGGGCAGTTTTAAAGCGTTTTTTATCTGCGCCGTTTGATTTCTTTTGCTCTAAGATCGGGGGTTAAAAGCAAATGAATGAGTGGTCGATTTTGTTCGTTTTTAACGGATCGTGTGGGATACCTAGAACACGCTACGAAAGACCCTACTCAAAAAACCTTCTTTGTCGGCCTTGTTGAATCGCTAATTATTTGCTTTAGCAAAATGAAAACTTCAGGGTGAATAAAGGAGAGGGGTGGCAAATCGAAAGGAATTGGCTTCTTCGTTAACCGTGTAAAATTGGTCAAAGGAATAAATTAGCTTGTATAGGCACTCAATATTTTCACTTGAAAAGTTATTCGGCACACTCACCGATCCTGGCTTCGATTGAGGCAAATTGGTTTGAAGAAATATAAAGGATATAATAATGACTAATTTCTTTTATTACTTTCCACATACTTTTGTTAAGATTTTCCTCCACACAAATTCATACAAATTTTTGTACTTTACATTTACATTAAATTCTTGTATTTTTTAGTATAAAAAATACGCTAAAAAAATTATTCAAGGTTTCAAATTTCCAATCTTCTAAAAATCATCTTCTTGGAATTTTTTCTGATTTTTCATACAATATTTTTAGAATCCTTAGAACCTTAGAATATTTGTAGCATTTGGCATTTTGAGAACCTGTAATCTGAAGACCTTCTTGGGATCCTCTGATACATTCAGATCTACTAATATTAGTATTATTTCAATCCTTTTAGGGTAGTATCCTCTTAGTATCTTCTTATGGACTTGAGGATTTTCTAAATCTAGAATCCTCTTAGAAAATATGTAGAATCTTCTAAAAATTATCTTATGATTTTCTGAGAATCTCCCACTAATCTGGATATACTAGCAAAATAAGAAGGGTTGAGGCAGTTTTCAACTTCAATAAGATGGTCCCTTCACATCCGGATGAAACGAAAAGAAATTCATATCTACCTTTTTTGTGCCATTGACAATTTTTCTAAGTTGATACGGTACGCATACGAACAAGAGGATCATATATTCAAGCCAGTTCAGGTCGAAGTACTCCTAGGAGGAAAATTTTTAGAAGGTACCGTAAACCATTATTAATTGCAGTGAATTTGGGTATCTTAAGAATCCCATTAATGATCTGTTATTATTACGGCCGTTTGTAAATTTCGAATGAACCAGCAAGGGGTAGGTATGTTAAATACACTTAACTGGGAAGTGCGATAATTAATTGTTAGTTATTACCAGGGTTACAGCCCTTTGAATTTTCTTTCGAAATTGGTTTTTAGTCCATAACTTTTGATTGCGAAATCTAATCGAAAAAGTACGAATCGTTTTGGATTCTACGCACCAAAATTAATAAGAAAAAGTGTTTTCCCGAGAAATTTTGGTGTAGTCGATTTTTGGTAAAAAAGGAAGGTTATACGCTGCCTTTTTTTGAGCCCCGAAGAAAAAATTGTCTCAGATCGACCCGGAAAACAAATTTTCTTATAGAATATGGCCTGTAGAATCCATAATTTCAAACAGTTCCAAGATTGGGCTACTAGATCAAAAGTTACCATTTGGGTTCTCACAAAAGTAACCCTGACTAGTCGTCAGAGTCCTCGCCCATGGATTAACTTGTGTGTACTCGAAGCTAATTAATTAATTTCTAAAATGGTCAGTGCGTGTGTCAACGAGGCGAATTTTCTTTGAAACGGAATGTAGCAAACAGCTTACCTTGCAATTAAAGGAGCGGCAGAAGTTACTGTGCAACAAAAAGGAAAAGGTATAGTTTGTTGATTATTTTTTTTAAAAGGGGTGGAAGTAATTATTTGTATTGTTTAAACAATATTCAGATTTCAAAAATTTGGGCCCCCACTTTTTTTTAGATTTTCAAAATATTTTTTGTTGGTCGTTTGTTGGCGTTTGTTACGGACAGACGGACAAAACCATCACATAAGGGGAATTTTTTTTCTTTCGAAAAATTTCCTATAGATTGTAATCTATTTAGTGTGTATGTATAAAAACCAATTTACAGGGTGTCCCATTAATAAAGGTCACAGGCCATTTGTATGAAACCGTTAATTGCACAGTTTCGGGGAAATAATTTTGTTAACAAAAGATATATTATATCGTTGCATTTAGAAATTTTCAAAAAAAAGTATCTGTTAATGTCACATCGCGCCCTCTACCACTCATCACATTTACTAAAAAGATTCTATTCATGTAAAATCTGATTCCACGAAGAGAGTTCTTTCCAACAAAACCTATTATGTGAACATCGGTTAACCTAAAACGAATTTACATTCAGTTCCTCAAATAGATGTTCCCCTTCCCCCACCGATCATATTTTATGAGTTAGAGCAACATGTGCTGCATCAAAATGATCCAAAAGGTCGCTTTTCTACTTAACCATGAATAGTACGCCCTCTAGTGGCAAACCTAGAAACTTGAAAATAATTTCCAGCGATTTTTCTTGGCCTCTTTTGTTAACAAAATTTTTCCCAAAGCTGTGCCATTAACGGTTCCATAGATATGACCTCTGATCATTATTAATTGGGATACCCTGTACATATTGTATTGTTTAAACAATATAAAAAATAAATTATTTCCCCCTTAAAAGAAAAAGAAAAATTTTAAATCGTCAGAATCGGAGCTGTTTCCGAGGACTTCCAAAGAAAAATCTTCATTGACGTGACTATTAAATAATAATTAAATAATATGATTGACATTCGCGATTGACTGTCACTAAAAAAATTGTAAAAATCGTAAAAGAAAGTAACACTTTCCATACGATTGTTTGGCATAGAAAGTCTGGTTATTCACTTCCGGTTCGCAATGGAAAAAATTATTGTCGATTCTTCAACGAGAGCTTATTTTGTTTTCCGAATTAACCTGCGTCTATAGAGATAATATTCAATAGAGACAATTCCATACCGATGGCTTAATTACATGAATCAACAAACAAGAACCCACACTATCCCTTGGTACACAGCAGCAATGTGTTCGCAATGAATAGAGTGATTTATAGACAATTCATGATTTCTATTCCAATTAACTCTTCGCTTATCATGCATGAAAACCGTGTCTGTGAAGTCTCGATTTAGTGCTCGTTTTATACAAACAGAGCCCTTTTTCCATCCCCCCCAATCCATTCAATATTGAATCAGCAGTTCGTATTTCCTTTCGAATCTGAAACATCCGTAAATATTCGAGGCATTTGTTTACTGCTTGTATTTTTATGCACGTTCAAAGCATAACAATACTTTATACATATATAGATATGAAAAAAAGAGGGCTCCATCCCGGGTCTTTCATTTGTTATAAAATGAATGGCCGCTAGTAAATCCAATATAAAGATAAAAGCATCCACCCTTACCCGGACACATAATTACAAATTCGCCATTGTTAAAATCTCGAAATGAGAGTTTGCTTTTAATTAGATTTGTGTAATGTGAACGAAATGAAATTAATTATAAACGCTAAGAGGAATGCCGAAAATAAAAGTAAATACCTTGCCACGGTCGTGGGCATCCACTAACTCGATTAAATGCAAAAATTCGGTCAATCTGCATGGTGTCTCCAATGCCTTGTTTTTCTTTGCAGATTCAATTATGACGTAAAGCTTAAAAAGTAACAAAATTACAAAAAATACTCGTCCTCAACCACTGTTCGGAAAAAAAACACTATAGACGAAGGTGTTCCCTTCAAATTCAAACTCTGTAATTGTACAAAGGGCTTGATCTATTAGTAGGTATCTCTTCCTACATTTCTTATCGCGATCTCCTAAGATCTTTGTTTCATTTCCACATGCGGGGTATTGTTTTAGTGCCTGCGCTTACATTTGCTTTGTTCCACTCAATTTCGAAATGCGTAACAAA